GAAAGTAAAATCAATGTGCAGCAGATTTCAACAGAAGTGCAAGTTGCATATTTGTTGACCAAGCCCAACGTTGTTGCCAACGACAGACGTATCTTGCGCTCCTTGCCACGAAGAATTTCGTGGACTTGGTCCAACTATGGTCAGACAAGTGAGCATTAGTAGCAACTACAAGCATTTCTTGGTGGCGTTCTTTATCTGAGGACGAGCTAAAAGGCCATCTGCAGCGCTGGTAATGCAAAAGAAATTTCTTCGATGTTTCATCAGGCAGTTAAAATGCAACAAAAGACCATTAAAAGTTATCGGATTTCATAGGCAGTGGCTCTCTAAGAGGTAACTCCAGCTGATGTATACTGCTCCAAAATGATGCGGGGTGAGCATATTTATATAATAAACTATCATTAAATATTGTTTCTAATATTTTCATAGTAGTTAATAATTCGATAAATTCTTTTTCATCTTTGGCTATAATATAAAAAGCTAAAGTGGCCAGACGCCGCGGATTGCATGGAACAGTCCAGCATTACAATGCTGTGTCCTTCTTCAGTCCTAAACATGCCCCGGATTCTGTAAATATACCCAGATTTTGTACCCATGAGTTTTAATTACACCGTTCTATGAGGTTATGAAGAGTTCTTGTTAAATCAGAAATTCATACAATAATTAAATAACACACAGGTCTCCTCCACATAGGAATTTTGCGAACATCTGAGAGTGAAAATCGTGCTTTATCAATGAACACTATCCGGCTTTAATCCGATACATACCAAGCTTCGTGACTGCAAAACTAGATTGTGCTTGTGCTTTGCTTCCATATGACTCAGAGGTATCGCTTAGATGAGATTTCATTATGTCCCCTTGGATTATCCCTTAGATGCGATTTCATTATGTCCCAAACTAAAAGACTTTAAAGAAAGAGGACGCTTTTGCCAAACATTGCTTATCCGATTTCACACCGTTTTCATCCATACATCCTTTTTCGTGAACATGAATGTAAATACCATTTAGGAAATTACATTGTGGCACCGTCTTTCTTTTAAAAATAACCATGGGTTTAGATTTTTGTACCGTCCGCTAAGCGGTGAAGTGAGATTTTTCGTTTCCCGTTGTGCTATGTAAACCGTTTTTGTGCCTTTCAATAAATCACACACATATTGTTCCCCTTATCTCTGATCAATTCCGTATACCATTGCTCGAAAGCCTGGGAAAAATCTTCGAATAAATAAGAGCATCACATATGTACCATTCATGTTTCTTCGTAAAGAAAAGGTCGCGCATTATACTCCAAATATGCCTAAAAATTAAAAAATGCGGTTTTGAAATTATAGGCGTGCGTTATACGTCGGGATATATAGTAATTTTTAAATGCATCTAAATTTATGGGACGTCCTGTATTTCAAAAACATCTGTGAATTTCAGATCGAGATATAGCACACTTGTTAACTTTACGTACGTTAACTTTACGTTAGAACGTGCTTCATAAAAAGATCGATATTTTCACTCGAACCCCTCTTATACCACGCTGTTTGAGTGCACTTCGTGAACTCCATGCGTCACTCACGAATTGTCGAAAATATTCCTAGATATTTCACTCTTAAAAAGGAATTTATATATTTTCTGATGCTTAAAAAAGAAATTTCATTGAATATATGCATCCGATTTTGTTTTAATAAATCATAATATATGTATGTATACATACATATTCCTCTTGATGGAGAATCATTTTAAGAAACCACATTGATACGATATAAGTATTCCATATCAGTATGCATATTACTAATAGATAAAAATTACAGTTTGTTGGCCATGGCTACAACAGAAAACAATGCGTTTCTATAGGATTCTCGTTTGTCTTTCAAAATATACTCAGCCTTTTCTATTGAATCAGCGTTAATTAACACTGAATATTCTGATTACTAATACTGCTCGATATATTCTATGCGACAGGCAAAATAATAGGAACACATTTTGCCGCACTCAATAAAATATCACCGATGGTATATTATGCGAGAAGAGAGAAAAGCCGAAAATTTTCAATGGAAAAGAAAGCGGGACACAAGTTTTCGATGTCACGAAAAAGACATCACAAAGAAGAACAAAGCAATCATAAAGTTTTATACTTCAAACACTTAAAAAAAAAATATTTTGAGCTAAAATAGGAAAGAAGAGATAAATTGCATTTTCGCGATTCGATTTGGCACCTTTTTAATTCAACGTTAACTTTCTTTTTATACCTTCACTCTCAAGAACATTTCGAAGTTCCAAGCTAAATGGAAACTTTTTCAGGAAAGCAGAGACCAATAGTACAGGTAACTTTGCTGATATTCTGAACTATGAAATCATCCCGGACGATTTCCTCATACAATAATTATTTGACCTTTTGCTGCACACTTAATTAGGCAAGCCAATAATTAATTTTACTCGTCAGTACTCTGTGTTTACGCTCCGTGTGCACCTTCTCACATCATCTCTTCTGACAAGCATTCTAACTAGATTTCGACCGATCACAGTGAAGTGCCAGCAGGCTACGAGCATCTCACGGACTTTTAGATGTAACTACTTTGAACTTGTTTTTGTTTGGACCAGTGTTGCAAACAGCTCGCGTCAACTCCTGAGCCCAGGCGAAAAATTGCGCCGTATTGCTTTTTCTCCTTCTTATTTCTCCCCCCCCAGAGGAAACTCAATAAGGAATTTTCTAATACCAGGCTCCGCAGGGAACTCTTTGCATGACTGGGAAGTATTGCTCTTGCAATAGAAACTCAGCACAATATAGTAATATATCGCAGTAAAGTGGTTAGTGATGCTAACTGCCGTACTGAAGAGCCCGGCTTCGAATCCTGGAGTAGGCAATCGATGTAAATTGTCTGTCCCTTCAATAGGAGGTAACGGTGGCCGCCTAACAGGTGCCTCCATAATAAAATGATCAGCGCTTCTAGCCTTAGTAGTGGCCAAAGCCTAAAATGGCTAGTGCCGGCCATTAAAAAATACAAAAGTGAGTCAGCTTCCTCCTTTGTTTACTCATCGGAATATCATCAGCCATATACACTTGAGTAGTGAAGAGTGTCAGGACTACTCCAAAACTGATTATTGATGCTCTCATAGGAAAGTATGTTGGTGCTAAATAAAATTTTGTCGAGAGTGATCGTCCTAATTAAGATTATAAGGAAATATTTCAAGCATATATTTTTGTTTTTGGTGAACCATAGCATTAACCATAACCATAACGAATAATTATTGTTCATTAAAATTAAGTTAGTGTAATCAAAAAGTGTCTTTGATACAAACACTCACAGCCTCATAAATGGGTTATAAGCTAGAAGTATTAAATACATATGATCCAAAGTAAGTTTTAGGAGAGGTTAATAGTTATTAGTTATTCTAACTTGGATGTACGAACATAACGCAAGAGATTTTTTTTCTATGTTATTTTATGAAATTAAATTATTATTTTTAATTAAAATGGCAAGCAACTAGTTTCTTTTTTAACATTATTGTACTCTGATGATTATTTGACCCTCTTGATATGCTAAGTTTGACATGCCTGTTCTAATGAGATGTAGTTTGGGTTGCTCAGGCTACTGATGGTTTGCGTGTATGGTCCCAGTAAAATTAAGCAATGAATCCTACCTACATGATTAAAAATAGTACAAGCTGGCGGAGCTTGTTGGATATTTATTGATGGGAAACATTTCGAACCTTGGTAGTTTTAGCTTAACGTGTAACTGGAATGGCGTTTCGAAAGAATACGTGCACTTTAATGCTTAGTTTTTATTCGCAAATGGAAAATTATCTTCCAAACTGCCACCCAAAATGTGTAATCTTAGAATAATTGCAGAACCATTCTGACATCAAGAAACATACGGAATGACCCTTCCTAGTCTCTCCTTACTTTAGCCCAACTGTATATTCAAAGAACGTTTTGCAGTACCATCTGTGCCAATTGATCAGGTACCAGCATCTGTTAGTCTATTAATTATCATCGATTAGGACTGTCATGCAAAATACATATTTGCAGAAACTTCTGCTAATTTAAATCAATGCCAAGGAAAATTCAGGTCATTATCAGAACAAAAGATGACTCTAACCCATGTTAGATAGTACTAACACATTATTCGATTCTAACACATTTATTACATTACAGATGGCTGTAGCCCAATAATACTCTACATAAACGTATGCTTGTCTCAGGGACATGCAGTCAGGATAGACTGTCTTGTACAGTGGAAAAATTTACTATTACTTGGGATTTGTGCAGTTTTTCCACCCCGCAGTTCGTTCAGCTGATGGGAAACACATTTTAAACTTTTTTTCATAAATTAAAGCAAAGTTTTTCTGCGTTTTAAATCTACTGCAGACATGCATATTCAGACGGAGAGCAAGGCCACGTGCCGGGAAAATCAGTTCTTGAATGATATAAGTACAACATATGAAAGGTCATGTGCTTATATTTGATTAAATAAGTATGCCTATCTAACATTAAATATGCTTTTATTTTCAGTTAATGCCATATGAAAGCAATGTAATCGCATTTTGGCTCTTAAAAAGTTTTGTGAAATATTTCCTGTCATCCACGTTTCTTATGACAATAGATTTATCACAAAAACACTGCAGAAATATATTTGATTATAATTAATATAATAACTTCCATGAAGTGTTTTATTAATTATTGAAAAAGCGTTTAGGAGAATTACTTAATTTTAAATATCTTATTGTGTACAGATTGTGAGAAAATTACGCTGTCATTGTGGATAATGTATTATTATACACCCTTTTACATTTTACACCTATCAATGTCTGGTGTTAACAACTTAATATTTGCTTTCTCAGCCAGAATTTGCCCATGGAACCCTGTTATATATAGAGGGATATTTCTTCATATGAATAATTACGTAACTAAGTCAATACATGTGTTTCATATTTTGTTACGTTTCTTTTACATTATAAAACTTACTAAAAACAAAATTCAAAGAATATTTAGCAGAAGAGCTACAAAAATAACTAACCTGGTTATTTCCCCTTTCAAATGTTATTTCAGTCGCTACTTCACATGATTCACAATTCAAATCGTCAAAAGTGTTCTCCGAAGTAATAACACTACTTCTGGGATATTCCTTGGACTCATTGACTACGTCAACTTTAAATTTCGATGTAGGAATTTGTCCATCTTTTCGGCTATGTACTTCTGGAAGAATATCTGAGTAATAATCATCAACAAATCCAAGGTTAATTTCTCCTTGATTAGCACGAGATATTTTACCAGCTGTCTGATTGTTTTCTCCAACTACTCTCTTGAACTCGTCATCATACGGAAGATTCTCTTCCGTTCTAAGAAGTTCAACAGCCAAGGAAAGCTTGTTGACGTAAACATGTTTATTCTCATGAAGAGAAGATTCACTTTCGTATCGATGAGGTATAAGCTCTACGTCTTCTGACCCAGCATCACTGCCGCTATCAGCTTCATGAATAAGGATTTCAGCATTAGTAATGCTGCTTGGCATTTGGCTTTCAGGATTAATGGGACTAGGTGATCGAGAGTCATCTTCTGAGTGGTCAGTGACATTTTCATCGAAAGCTAGTTTATAAATCGATTGGTTGGCCTGTAGAGATTCTAAAGCAGTTAACTTCTTAAGTTCCATTTCCATTTCGTAATTTAAAATATCAGAATTCAAGAGGTGTGACACATAATTATTTTGAGATAAAATGGATTTGCTCTTAGGATTTATTTCATTTTCTGGGTTTGTTTTTTCAGAAAAGTTGGAGTTTCGTAACTTCTCGTTTGTGAATGAACTCGCATTATTGCTACTCTGTGTACCTTGAAGCTCAGAATTATTTAGTGTACTTAAAATATCAGGAAGAAATGTCTGTGAATGAGATCTACAAGAATTTTCATTTGCATTGTAATCAGTTACATTGCTATTGGAATTTTTGTCAGGTTGTAAATTTGAGGCGTTTAAATTTAATACGACTGGATCTCGTTTATGATTGTCTTCTGCATCTACACAAGATGATAGCTCAACATTCCGAAAGTCTTTGGTGTTGGATGGAAGATGGGTTTCTGAAGGCACAGTAAAGGCATCTAGGTTTTTGTGGTTTGTGCTTTTGTTATTTATATTTTGATTTTCTGACTCCTGTTTCTTCTCGGAATCTACATCATTCACAGTCTGAGGTTTTAGGTTATTTGAACACCTTTCAGCACTCGAACTGATATTTTCTTGCTTCTTCGTGTTTCCAGTCGATGTTTCAATTTCTTCTGAAGGGTTTGTGGAGACAGAAAATTCAGTGTTCGTTTTCGCGGGAACAATTTTGTCTTTGAAATAACTGAAATTATTTTCTGGCTGTTTCTTTGTGTGAACGCCACATGCATTTAATTTTTTCCTCCCTTGTACACTTTTTGGCGGACTAATATTTGTTTCTTCATGTGCTGATAACTTACTGTCTTTATTTACCCTATTCCCGGGCGGAGGAATAAGTCTGTTTACATCATTTGGTTCTGGAAGTCGTTTTACTTTTGTTTCTGAAACTGAATTTCCTTTATTCAGAGAGTTCGTTTCTGAAAATGAAGTCATTCTTTCAACATTATTCGATTGGCAATTAGGTTTCCTGGTAACTACATCGATTGATTTTCTGTTGCTCTCTTGCTCATATCTCGCTGCTGGCTTTTCGGGTATGACTGCATAATCAGCATATATTTCCTGCAAAATAAATATAAAAAATACTGAATATGTTTTTGGAATTATTGCTGGAAGATAAATATAAAATCAAACTGAGTATTAAGTGTTAAAAATCAAAACTTTAAATGAAATGTAGGCAAATAAAATAACGAGCGGAACCACTCAAAATACGAGGGTAAGTCACTGAGTAAGTCACAAATTGAATATTTGAAAATAACAGTGAGTATTTTCCAAGTATATTAACAGATAGAATCAAAATGACCTTTCTGGCGCACTTTTCCAAAAACCTGAACGGTTCTGTCACATGTCAAATCTTTTTAACAAAATATGTATGATGTTTACATATTTTTTAGATATGACAGATACTAAAAAATTACAGAAAAAAAGAAAAAATCTTAAGTTTTTGGAATAAAATGCATATTTTTCAGAGATGAAAAAATACACAAAAAATCTCATGTTTTTAGAATAAAAACGGCATAAAAATATGTTTTCTGGATATAAAAAACTCTAAAATTTTTAGAATAAAAATATGTTTTTAGATATAAAATAAGCTCAAGTTTTTAGAATAAAAACCATATAATGTTTGTTTATTAGCTATCAAAGAATTTTACGTTTTTTGAATAAAAATGACATAAAAATATATATTTTCCAAAATAAAAAATACACGTGACTCAAAGTTAAAAAAAATTGTACATTTTTAAGATTATTTTTCTACTTCATACAAATATTCTCCATCAGTCACACCTTTTTGATTGAACATGTAACATCGAAGAAATTTCGACCATCACCATTCATAATCCGAGATACGAAATTACAAAACAACTCTCAATAAAAATAGAAACAAGTAAAATTGAAAACGTAAAATCATTAACATATCTTGGATTGCCAAAAAATCAGCTTCATAGATCATCTCTAAGATATAAAGATTCACACCCACCAAATAGGACAAAATCTTCGAACGATGCAAGGAATTGACTGGGAATTGAACCCTCACATCACTAAGATCCTATAAAAAGCCAACATCACAAAGATCAGCAAACTGGAGCTGCGATATGGGCCCTGCCGATGACAGAAAGAAAAAAGTGATTGCTAACATCCATACAGCGACATTTCATGCTAAATATCGCACACGGCTTTGAAACCACCTCCAGCACAGCTGTGAATATCTTAGCAAGCACTACGTCGCTACATCTTTAAGCAATCGACAAGGCTATTTACTCTCCAGATCTTCAACTCATTAAAAGCATCAGCTTCAAGGATTACATCTACTCTGCGGATGATTATGAACAACGTCCTCCTCCATATAAAAACACATCCGACCTATCCCTTTACCAAAACTGAAATCCAAAAGAACATTGACACACAAGAAACAAAGGGATTGACGCTTACACTGAAGGATCAGAAATCGAAGTAAAAGTAGAATGTGCAGCAATCTTTCCAATACAGCAACATCTAGACTCTGAAATAAAATGGAAATGGTATTTAAACAAATGCAATATCATACATTTAGCGGAACTCTGAACCATAAAAGCTACTATCAGCATTGTGCCAATAAACAACTTCTCCAAAATATCCAATAACTTTAGACAGCTAAGCAGTCATACTTTCCGTCCGAAATCCAGACAACCATTCTCACCCAGCCCCTGAAATTAATCAAATCTCTAAAGATCTCAATGCTTAAATAACCAAAACTTTGATCAAAGAGCACAGCAGCAACGTTGACAACGACACTGCCGACAGTCTTGCAAAAGAAGCAGCTCCTTCCCAAGAAGGCGACTTCCTCAACAACAAGGTTGCGCACTCACCAGTTCTAAAAAAATCAGCACATAAATCAGAAGCTCTTCTTAACATATTACCTCATCTGTCATGGCCCATATACAGATTAATTTCTTAAAAGAACCTCTCTAATAGCGACAACTGCGTCTGTGGAGTTAAAGGAGATGCTGACCATTACCTATTTTTCTGCCGTCTTACAAGTGGCCTGTACATCCAGAAACTCACCAATCCATACTTTAATTAAAAAAGACTAGTGATATCTCAACGTCACCTACATGAAAATATCATGAAACTACACCAATAGCTTGTAGGATCCCTCACTCTTTTTGGCTAAAGTAAAAGTCGAGGAACCTAATGAACTACTAAGCGACTTATCGCTGAGTTCAAATAACTAAAGAAGTAGACTCAATAAGGGTTAACTACCCTTTATTTCACTCAAAATGAGATGAAAATTTGGTCACTTTCTTAGCGCTTACAACAAAGCCTCCACTTGGGTTTAAACTCAAAAATAAGAAATAAGAACTACGACTAACTAAGAGATTTAGTCGAGCTAATACAGTTCTATCTCAGTTGCCCCGTAATCTAAACTAGCCGGCGAACTATCAAAAGGCACATAATATACGGACAATCATAACAGTTTAAAGAGAGATTTAGCCTGAATGCAAACACGCACTACTCAGGATTCCTAGCTCTTTGTCACGAAGTAAACTGAACCTTCTTCAAATGCTAGTTCTAGCTCATTTGCATTCAACGCGATTCTAAAAACTCATTCCGGTACGGAGTTGTAAGTGGAAACGAGAACTGATAGGAAAGCACTTTGAGATTAAATAACTGTTATAAAATTAAATATACCTTACAAGCTTAGTGCTCTAGGACTGGACCTATACCAAGTCACACCTTAGAAGCGAAATCGAAAATGTGGAAAGAGAAATGACTAGGTTGCATTCTAATAACAGATTCTGAGCAACATCAACAATTTCCATAATGCTTCAAAACACGATACGAACTGAGGTGAGCCCATGAATTTTATTTATGAACTTTGGACTGAAAGATCTGAACTCAGTATAATCTTACCTGTCCTCAAAGGTAACCTCCAGAAAATCCTCACAGAAAAAGAAACAGACATCCCAATATATTAGCAATATGAAATCAAATATGTTTTTCTCCCATATGTTCTAGTTCCATAAAAATGTAAAAGCTCCAGTGCACATCAGTCTCCAAAGTATCAACTTTACTGTATTTACGCATATTGTAATGAGTATACTCAACAGCTGTGTTATGCAATTTTGTCTAATTTTATCTTACTCCTCTTGTGTTTAAATGTAACGATTCCAATGTGTACTTCTCTCACAACAACCAATCATGGATAATCCCACTAGAAACTGGAATCCAATAAGCTTCGTGGTACGGAATGCCTATGGGCTTCCCAGCAGACTACAAGGATTTGCAAAACATTTTCTACACACGATATTGACATTGAGATGATAACTAAATTTCATGCTCGACCATGCTAAGCTCAGTATCCCTGATTACAACCAATACAGATATGATTGGCTGAACTACCATGGCGGCGGAGTTACTATTTATGTTAAAAGAACTTTACCTTCCTGTCTCATAAATGAACTCAGAGCTCAAGGTTTCGAACTTGTGACTGTGTGCATTTCTCTCCCTATTTATCATGATACTCATTTCAGTGTCTTCTACAAGTTCGCCCAGCAACAGACTTAGTGATAGTTTACTTGACTCCATTTCACCTGCAGACATCCTCACCATCAGAGCCGGCGACCTTAACGTCTAACAAAGTGACTGGAATTGTTGTCGTACTGGAATTGTTGATGAGCCTTGACAAGAGAGACGGTACCTTTTGATTTATGGTTAAATATTTGAAAAGAAAATTTTCTCGCAATCGTCCAATTTGCTATAACAATTAAACTGCCACCTCACATGAAGAAAAAGCCAACATTTTCGCATCGAACCTGGAATCTTGCACAACTCGTAGCCATTTGATAACGACATTGAACTGAATATTCTACTAAAGGTTCGTGATTGGCTAAATCTTCCAGCAGCACATAACATCCCTGATATAGTTAGGTCCATTGAAATAACGGAAATCATTAAAAAACTGAGGATTAAAGAAGCACCTACAAACGACTAAATTTCCAACATTGCTATTTGAAGTTTGCCTACAGCTTTTTATGTAAGCAAACAAGTATAATTAAAGCCTGTCTAACAAGTAAAATTAAAGCCTGTCTAACAAGTATAATTAAAGCCTGTCTTATGAATTCTTACTTCCCTAGTTCTTGGAAAATTGCTAAAGTAATATCCCAAAACCGGAAAGGATCATATAACATCTGACGGACGCATCAGCTTGTTACTGGGCCTAGGAAAAATTTACAAACGTGTCACTTTGCTCAGAATGAAGCCATATCTGCATTTATTTCCGCCCGAACAATTCGAATATAAACTATCAACGACAAAGCAACTTATGCGCATCACTGAGTTTGCGGGTGCAGCTTTCCACAGCAAGCTTAATGTCGCTGTTCTCATGTTGGACATTGCGAAAGTCTTAGACCGCATCTGGTATGAGGGTCTCATCTCCAAGCTTATCCCCATCAGTTTGGATAGAGAGCTATTTTTCTTATTCTGTCCTTTATCTCCGACCGACAGTTCAAAGTTTAAGAGAGGAATACACTCTCCGCTGAGAGAAATATCTCTGCTGGTGTGCCTCAGACCAATTTTATACCTTTTCTACTTTGCTGAGTTCTCAAATCTCACTAGCAGTTACAGTTCCTTGTTAGCTTGTTATGCAGACGACATTGCCTTACGGTCAAGTCTGCTAACATCAAGCATACGCTAGTTCCAAGGTTATTACTTCCATTGAAGACTGGTGTTGCAGGTGGAAAGTTTGCATTAATGTGCTACGTCCCAGTTATTTCTCATAAAAGAAAGAAGACGTTCTATGCACCTCAAGTAACAACTAAAACACTTCAACGCCCCTATTCCGATTGGCAAGAAGGCTAAGTACTTAGGTGTTACCATTACTGATCGCTATACCAGGACTGACCATATTCAACACGTATCTTCTTAGTAGAATACTCAGTCATGATGAACGTATCGTCTCTTGCCAATTATAGGCAAATACTCGAAGCTTGTTCTGAGCAAAAGAAGATTTCTTTATATAACTACTCTACGTCCAATTCTGACCTATGCTTCTTTGGCCTGGGCACCTGCTAAAAGTTCGGATA